CTACCCACCATCGCATACACCGCATCTGCCTCTTTCCCTGCTGCGCGTGCCTCCTCCACCGCCTTTGCCGGGATATCGATCTTGGGGAAGAGGTATAGGGCGCCGGGGGAGTCGACGCAGGAGACGCTGTGGGAGAGGGTGAGTGAGAGGTAAGAGACGAGAGGGGTAGGGAAACGGAAGATAGAGGAAAAGAGGGCAAGGAAAATGGAGGGAAGAAGGGTGAGGTGAGGTGGGGGAGCGGAAGATGGGGGGAAGGGCACGAGGTGAGGGTGGGATGAAAGATGGGGAAAAGAGGAAGGAGGGGGGTATGAGGAGGAGGGGAGACGAGAAATGAGGGGAAAGGAGGGGTACGGGGAGGAGCGAAAGGAGGGGAGCACGCGACGCGACGAAAAAAAAAATGGATGAGGAGTACGAGGAGGAGGAGGGGAAGTCGAAGTACGACGAGGAGTACAATGGGATGGAGGAAGGAGTTGGGTACAAAAAAAGACTTGCCCCTCCAGCGCATTCAGCCTCGCCGCCATAACGCGCGTCCTCGTCCTCAGCGCCTCATGTATCCCATCCGTCTCGGTCTTCCACAGCGCGTATGACGGCTCGCCCGCGCGCGGCGGGCGCACCATGCTGTCCACGCCGATCTGCCCCGCGAGCGGCGGGCAGAGGCCCACGCTTACGAGTTTGTAGATCAGTGCTTTGACCTTTTTCAAGAAAACGCGTCAGCCAACTCTCATCTTCATGCTCTCCAACAAAACGGGAGAAACAAAGAAACACACGCACCTCCGCCCCCACATTTGTCAACTCAAAATACCCGCCCCTCCGCCCACACTCCCCGCTCACGCCCTTGCTGATGCTATGGAAGCTCACCAGCGGGACGGGGCTCCCCAAATCGCGCACGACCTTCTTGAAGCTCGTGAAAGGGTGCGTATGGGGCTGGTGCAGGTTCGCTTGGTAGACCTCGTCGGCGAGGAGCACCAACGAATGCTCCTCACACACCCCCACCAACTCCGCCATCGTCTCCGCGCTCAGCAGCGCGCCCGTGGGGTTGCCCGGGTTGATGATGACGAGCGCCTTGGGGCGCACGTTGTCGGCTTTTGCTTTGGCGAGGGCGGCGGAGATGGAGGCGACGGAGGTGGACCAGCCGGAGGATTCGTCGAGGAGGTACTGGGAGGATAGTGAGTGTGGATTAGGATGGAATAGAGGGAGAAGAGAGACAAGATAATGATAAAGAAGATGAAAGGAGAGCTCACAGGAATGGGCTGCCCGTGGTGCTGCGCGAGCGCGGCGGTGTAGAGGGGGTACTGCGGAATGGGGATGAGGATGCCCGCATCCGGCGCGTCGATGAGCATGTTAATGAGCAGGGAGACACCCGCGGAGGCGCCGGCGGTGAGGAAGATGTCGTCGGGCGAGGCGGGGTGGGCGTCTCGTTCTGCGGGCGAGCATTAGCGAGCGTGGGGGGAGAGAGGGGGAAAGGGGGTGAAAAGTTAGAGGGAAGGAGAGAAAGGGAGAAGTGAGAGCAGAAGAGAGGCAGAAGTGGGCAGCAAGGCTGGAGAAGCCAAGCTTGAGACGAATCGGACGCGCATATTCTCGTACAGGCGATGAATTCAGTGGAGATGCGCGGAGATGCGCCGCGTAAAGCCATAAGAATGTACGGCCACTCGCAGACCGGCATATAACACCACGCGAAAGACGGGATACAGAAACAGGCGCGCCCCGACGAGCCGTGGCGCAGCGGAACTCGGATTCCGTGAGCGGGGGTATCGCGCTCGTTGGCGCATTAGCTAGTATCAGGCAGCCAGCCGCCGACATGCAGGCGCGCACACGCGAAGCTCCAAGCTTCAAGACTTTGAAGCGAAGGCCACTGGTCGTGCCGCGAAGCGATGAAGGCGTCGCGGGCCAAAAACGCGGGCATCCAGACGCACGAGCAGACCGATACGTAGATGCACGACGAGGGGTGCACCCTGACCGAGTGCCGACCCCCGATCGCGTCCCACCCACCCCGTACACGGGCATCGCCGAAACCCCACAAACAGTATCGGGCGTCGGCCATACCACGGCTCCCCGCACCGGGTACGCGGTCTTAGCGGATCCCGCTCGAGCCGCCCGTCAGGCAGTAGTCCGCCAGGGTGGCATTGGCAAAAAGCCAGACAAATCGAGCATAGAGGAGCCACGGGCAAGCGCTGCCCACCACGACATCTCTCGAGGAGGACATTAACCATAAGGAACAGGGCAAAGACGAAGATCGAGGAGGCAACGACCTATTAGTTGGCCGCAGGCACGACCAGCGGCACACATTCCCATCGTAACACCCGCACTCCGCTCACTGCGGGGCAGACGGGTATACGATCCGGTCGACCATTGTGCGCCCTCCAAGCCTCGCCCACCCCGCATGCGGGGGATGCCCAGCGAGAACGTGCGGAATGCGAGCCTCAGGCGCGACCGGGGTGGAGTACGGCCAACTCCAACTCCATACAAAAGCGCCGGATATAGCACCGCACGAGAGTTGGGACGGGATATAGGTGAAAAAGAAGAAAAGAAAAACGCGAGAGATAGAGAAAACGGGAAGAGAACGGCGCATGCGGTTTACAGACGTGCATGAAGCGCTAGCGCCGCGCCCCGACGAGTATGTATACGCGCCTGGTCACACGCCTGTCCTCCGACCCACGCGCCAGTGAAGCTAGCTAGCCACACCGCGTTCCCCCTCAACGCGCCGTTAGGTGAACGGCTCTCCGCACCGACGCACCGACACACCGATGCCTCGCGTGGTAGCGGTATTAGCGGTGGTCGTATACACTCGTCCGCGTCCCCAATAGCATCGGGGTGCAACAATCCCATTGCCAATAAGCAAGACGCGACGCAATCGGTAGACGCCGCATAAATGCGGGAGCGCAATGTGTGCATGCCAGTCGCCCAGCCATGGCGGCAGGGTGTATGGCACCCAGCGCATATAGACGCGAGTGCACGAATGGCAACCCAACGGGTCGTCCAATCGCGAGGCGATGGGAGGGCATTTACAGAGACACCACATGCGGCGTTAAGCTCTCTGCACCCCGGGCTTCCGCACCCGATATTCCCCGACACATCCGTCTGCCTTGTTTGGGGCGCTCGTGGAAAACTTACATGAACGGCGCCTGGCCAGCGGGTGTACAGCGAGACGTAGCGCGCACCCGGGGAAAGGGTGGCATCGGCGGGCAGCGCCGCACTTCAATTCAAGACGAATTGAAGCGAAGGCCGACCACGAGATCCATGGACGTCGCGAGGCCAAATATAATGGGAATCGGACGCGCGAGACGGACAGGTACGAGCGTGCGAATGGCAACCAAACCCGAGACCCTGGGGAGGAAATATACAGAGACGCACGTACCCTCAATAAATTTGGCCACACTCTTGCGTATAAACGGCACGCCCTGGCTGTGGGAGTACGCGCCGATAGAGCCGATCTCCGCGCTGAGCTCCTTTGCGCGGGAGACGACGTCAGGGGGAAGACGCCGGGTGCGAGGTCGGCGAGAGCGGGCCACTCCATCAGGGCTGCTACCTGGCATTCGTAATTAAAATTATTGAATCAAAGAAAAGAGGAGCACCTGGCGCGTAAAGTAATCGGGGGCTGGTCGAGCCCCTTCTGCTGGGGTTCCCATATTGCTCGAGATGACTTTATCAAAAGGCAGACCATGCCGGCGTCTTGAGCTGCTCGCGCAGGACATCGGCCTTGATAGCGAGCTCGCCGCGCACAGCGTATTGCACCGTCAAAGCTGGGGGTTGACCGAATCGAGTGTAAGGGGACGCATAGTTCTGTTGAGGAATCGCGATGGTGGTCGTAGCAGAAAAGAAGAACGGAGCATCGATTAAGTGCGTCTGTTTGGGATGAGAACGTGACCGTTGCCTGATGGTCTCGAACCACGACGACTACCTTTTTATACGGATTGCGGGATATGCGCGACTCGCAGCCTCACAATCGCGTTCAGCTCAAAAGCCTCAAAATTTCGCCGAGTCAGACGGCTAGCATTGTTCGGACGAATCGGGTTCGGCCGATATCGCCTATATATGTAAAGCCCGGTAATTTGGACGTCGCTTTCAGGCGGATGACCTTTCGAGTCAACTTTTCTTCTCAGAGCCAAGCCCGCTCATCACCGTATCCTGACTGACTAGAACTCGCACGCACGGTCTCCGCACACCATTGATATCTCCAACGACTCCCACCGCTCAGCGCTCATCCTTGATGAATCTACATATTCAATCTCTACGTGCAATCTACGCGTCTCTAGCCTAGCTGTGTTGTTGCTTGCTGGTCGTCACCGCTGGCAACAATACAAACGAGCAACGTTTGTGCATCTCCACAAATGCTCTCGGTGCTAACACTTTCGGGCAATCTCGGAACACTCAATGATCGACGGCATTATTTACCTCCGCGGACGCTTTCTCCTTGGAGGACTCTACTTCAAGACCGTGCAGGCCGTCTTCAAGCTTGTTATTATACAACGATCTCACAAATTGTAATTCGGCGCCGGCGCGTTCCGTCCTTCGTAATTAACCCATTTTCTCGTTGAAACATATTCACTCGGCGCGTCTCAAAAGCCTGTGTTCCCGAGCTTGAGTTGAAGGGATTGAGTTCAAAACCCCGATCGCAAGTTCACGAACTCCAAATTCGCCAAAAAAAAAAAAAGGATGAAGAAATTCATTATTCGGGCACGGGGAATCGAACCCCATCCTGCAGCGTAAAGAAATCAAAGTTGATTCGAACCCACTAGTAAATGCTGCCGTGCACCATACACCACACCCAAGTTCTTCTCCTTGAACCTACTCTGAATATATCAGGTAAATTGAAACCACACAATTTAAGTACTGTATGCATCTCAACTCACTTGCCGCTGCGTAGCTTCAGACTGATCATGAATACTCAAGTGTTCGATCGCAGAACGCAGAACCTAACCAACGGCTCCATCGTAGATTACGAAGGGACCAAAAACCAAGATTTAAAAAAAACCAAAAAAAACCAAAAAAAAAAGAAACTATTCGGGCGCGGGGAGTCGAACCCCGACCTGCAGCGTAATAAGGGCTAGCTGGTTTAATAACAGTAAGTTGCTGTGCACCATACACTACACCCAATTTTCTCCCTCATATCTGTACCAGCACAACTGCGTATCTGTAGTTCGGCCTACATGTGTCGGTGAGTCCACATCACCTTGACTCGCGTATAGTCCAGTCCAGTCCAGCCAAATATCCGACTCTACCCTCGAGCGAATTGTGATATAATAGTGAAAAAAAAATCAAACCTTGGCATACATTCAAACTCCGAAAGAGAAGAGAGAAGAAAAAAAGAAAAAGGGTGTGAAAACGAATTCGAGCACGGGGAATCGAACCCCGTCCTGCAGCAGGAAGATTGTTGACGACCAAGAAATACTGCCGTGTACCACACACCACGCCCGATTCCTCTCCTCGCATCTGCACCAGCATAAGGTAGGCGGATTTTATCACTCTGGTCCTTCCATCAGCTCATGATCACCAGCACTTGCATTCGAATGCTCCCCGCTGGTCCCGCTAAATATTCATCCTCGGGCTGAGATTCTAGAGACTCAGACTAAAATGCCTTGGCATAAATTCGACGGTCACGGAGAAAAAGAAGAAGAAAAAAGCAGATACTCGCACGATTATTCGGGTATGGGAATCGAACCCCGTCCTGCAGCGTAAAGCCGTTGTGGTGATGTCATAAAAGAAACGCTGCCGTGCACCGTACACCACACCCGAGCTCCCCACCAAAAACCTACGCTGGATATATCAGATAAGTTGGACCCCGTTCAGCGCCTTCACTATTTTTTTATGAGGATGTAACCCGATTTGCCGCTGCTTAATGGTGGGAGTTGGGTGGGAGAGCTTCGGACTGGATATTCACTGACGTTCGATTGAAGAACCCCAACCAACGGTTCCATTTTGTATTTACGAACGCCAAAAGCCGAGAAAAAGCCAAAAATAGGAGAAAATAGGAGCAAAAAACTGGACAGATAACGGATTATTCGGGTGCGGAGAGTCGAACCCCGTCTTCCAACGTAAATCGCTGTGCGGGCTGTTACGAAACGCTGGCGTGCACCATACACCACATCCGAGTTCCCTACCTCTCAATATATCAGATACATAAATTGAACCCGCCACGATTTATGTGTGAGCATGATGTGAGCGTACATCCGGACTTAAAATTACTTGATGGTGGGGGAGCTTCGCACTCATATTCACCATTGACAGTGCTCAATCGTAGAATCCCAAGTTCCAACCAACGTTTCGGCTCGATCAGGACAGTACGAACAGACCAAAAACAATAAAGAAAAGGAGGAAAAATACTCGGGAACGGGGAATCGAGCACCACCACCATCCATAGTTTTCATTCTGAAAGCTACTCTGGACGTGTCAGATAAATTGAACCCCCAATTTACATGTGACATGATGTGAACATCCGGACTTGCCGCTGCGTGATGTGGGAGAGCTTCGCACTGAAAGTACTCGCCCGCGTTCAGTCGTAGAATCCCAGCTCAACCAACGGCTCGATCGTAAATTTACGAACACCGGGGGCCGAAAACCCGAAAGAAAAAAAACGAGATCGCCGAGAGAATCATTCGGATGCGGGGAATCGAACCCCATCCTACAGCGTAAATCGTTATTGTCGCTTGGCAAAGCAAGGAGCGCTGCCCTGCACCATACACCACACCCGATTCCTTTTCTCATATCAGTACCAGCATGACTGGGGAATTTTATGACTCTGGTCCTTACATTTGGTCCTTACATTTGCTGTTTGCAGTCGTTGAATTCACGGCACATTACCTGCATTATCTACAGTCCAGCCTAACCTCAGGCCGAGAGACTAGCTAGAAAAGCCTTGGGATAGATTACAAACGGCCCAAAAACCAAAAAGAAAAGAAGGGGAAAAAAACATAAGATTGACTATTCGGGTGCAGGGAGTCGAACCCCGTCCTGCAACGCAGGTCATATTCAACGGTTATTAGTAACTGCTGCTGTGCACCATACACCACACCCAATTCCTCTATCTAGAACCTACGCTGAATATATCAGATAAAATTGAACCCGCGCCCAACCCACCACAATTTATGTTGTATGCATGCATCCCGGCTTACTTGATGGTGGCAATCTGCACCAAATACTCACCGGCATTCAATAGTAGAACCCCAACCCAACCAACGGCTCCATCGTAAAAGTACGAACGGCCCAAAAACCAAAAGGAAAACAGGAGTAAAAGCCCAGAATGGCGAGAATCATTTAGGCACGGGGAGTCGAACCCCGTCCTGCAGCTAACAATCTGGTATCCCATTGAGAGAGCGCTGCCGTGCACTATACACCACACGCGAATTCCCCACCTAAAACCTACTCTGGATACATCGAATGAATATTTCGTCAAAGATCCCGGAAACGGCCTTTACAAATTATAACCTATCGTTAACAAGTTGATCTGGATTTCGGCGGCGGATTTTATGGTCGAGTTTCAGTCTAAGCAAAGGCCTCAACGGTTCAATCGTAAAAACAAAAACTGGAGGAAGATCTTCCATTCGGATGCAGGGAGTCGAACCCCGACCTGCAACATACCGAGTTGGAACTATTACTAAATGCTGTTGTGCACCATACACCACACCCGAGTTATCTGTCTAAAACCTACACTAGGTATGTCAGAAAAAATTGAACCCGTCAGCGGCTCCACAATTTTTGGAGCATGTAACCGACTTGCCGCTTAAATAATGGTAGGAGAGCTTCGGACTGCACCATCACCCGCGCTCAATCGTAGAAGTCCAACCACCGGTTCCATAATTACGAACGCCAAAAGCCGAGAAAAACCCGAAAATAGGAGAAAAAAACTGAACAGAATCCGATTATTCGGTCCTTCTTTCTGTTGTAAAAGCTTTTTTCGCAAAATATTATGTGTTTGCAGATCGCGGACGTGCAACGTGGTTAGTGCGTTCCGTGGTCTGTGGTCTGTGGTTACCCAAGGTTTGCCGGGACGCCGAATAAACGGATCATCAGCCGGGTTCCCACGATTGAAGACATAGGGTGCGAGAATCAATGATACGGCAATTTGTTGAGTATGTCTTGCATAAGACGAGTTACCCCTGCTTTTGGTTTCTCATTTTTGTAGGCTCACACCAATTTTGAACAAGAAATCAAAGAACTAGTAAACTCTTGCTGCGTCGAGTGTTGTAGAACATGGGTGATATGTAGAATGTGAGTAACTTTGCAAACACGATAACAGATACTAGTCTCCCACCTGTACACTTTATTGGTCGAAATTCAATCAGCAAGGCGCACACAAAGTCTGTTGAAGTGAAACCGGGACTCGGCCCGCTATGGCAATCAACATCAAGTGATCGGCCTCGGCAAGTTCGAGTTCTGCACCAAACTCTGGACTTGGACGGAGCTAGGTGTTCAATGGTGCCAACCACTTTGAACTTTCAAAAACCACTGAAATCATCAAAAACCATTGACCAAGGAGCAGAAAACCACCAAAAACCAGGTTCTCAAACCACGAGTTGCGACAAAACTACGGTTCACGCATCACGAACATAGCGTGTTGGTTCACGTTCCGGAACCACATAATATTTAGCGATGAAAAAGGTCATATTCTGTTCAATGAACAGAAACCGACTCTACTAGAGCCGAGGCTGTGCCAACTCATTTGCTGATATCATGATGCGACCAATTGCAACAGCACAGCCAGTGTACAGCTTTGTCTCTCTCTCTACCATGTCGGACGAAAGCCTCTCCCATTCTGTGTCCTTCCATCAGCAATTCTCCGCTCTTCGCGACCGTCTTATGCAGATTCGCGGTTTTCCCCACTACTTCTCCCTCGCCAATCCTGAAAATCCAGCAGTAGATGGCCAGATCGACCGTATCACTCCACTCTGCTACATCTTCGATCTACTTCCCGAGGAGGATGGCTTCAGAAAAATCAACCACTCCGAGTTCAACCAGGAGCAGTACACCGCCAATCCTGATCGCGCAAAAAGGCATGCCATCGTTCTCTTTGCTATGCAGATTCGTACAGAGGAGTTCAAAAAGAAAATCCCCGCGTCCGGGATGTTTACTGTGACAGATCTTTGGGATCGTAACTCAACTGACGGGTTTCTCAAAGTATGTACGTTTCCCATTCCTGCTGTCCGCGTGCTCAGCGTTACAGGTCGTCAACACCGTTACGGCAATCGTCAATTATCTTCCGCCGGATGCGTTTGAAGGATTTGTGCCCGCTTTGCCCATGTCGAAGAACCTGCTTGCCCTCCGCGATAGCCCTCCCGATGATCCCAAACCTGCCCTTCCTACCAGAACACAAGAAAATATCATCCGCGAGCTGGTTGAGACTGAACGCAAATACGGAAAGGATATCGAGCTCATGCATGTTTGTTTTCTGCTTGATCTCGCATAGGATACCATTCACTGACTCTGCCGTAGAAATATGCTACTGTTTTGTCGCAGAGCAACTGGATCGACGATAATATCAGGCTTTCTCTCTTCCCCAATATGAACGAGCTTTTCAACTTCCAGCGCAAATTCTTAATTCGCCTTGAGGCTACTGCGGAACTTGCGTGGCAAGACCAGAATTGGGGACAGCATTTCCTTGAGGCTGTGAGCGCGCATCGTTATCTTTAGTGCTATCTGATCTGTTCTGCGTTGTCCTATCGCAATCATAGGAAAAGGAATTTAGTGAAGTTTATGCGCCGTACTGCGCAAACTACGTCAGTTCCTCTGAGTCCGTGCTCATAGATGAGGTGCAACAGAAGCTCGCCGTGCGTTTTCCGTGAGCTGGAAACAACCATATGGCTGATAAGGCACCTTCCGACAGCCGCTTAACCACTTGATAAACGTCAAGGCGGAACTGCCCGCCTTCATAAAAAAGCCCGTTGGACGTGTCTGAAAATACCCACTTCTCCTTGACGTGAGTATCTCTGCTCTGTTCCATTCAGTGCTGATTATGTTCTACTTTCAGTCGTTACTCAAGGCTTCGTCGGCTGCCGACTATCAACATTATAACGCTTTGAAACAAGGTTCAGAGGCTTCCAAGCGTGTCGGAGACCGGGTTAACGAGGCATTACGCCGCGCCGAGAACGAGCAGACCGTGAATTCTCTGCAGGCGCGTGTGGATGATTGGAAAGGCCACAACGTTGACAACTTTGGCGAACTCTCCTGTACGACTTCTTTGTTGTCAACAGATCGGACGTCGACCGGGAATATTACGTCTTCTTATTCGAAAAAATTCTACTCCTGTGCAAAGAAATTTCGAAGGACGCTCCGAACAGCCGGTCATTTTATGCGAGGAATACACCTCTTTTATTGAAGGTCGGATCTTTGTTTCCAATGTAACACAGGTGGTGCCAAGCTCGGAGACGGACTCGAACGCGTCGTGTTCGTCATTTCTTGGTTTTGAAACTTGCAATATCTAACGTTACAGTCCAATATAGCTTCCCCATATCTGAGACGGTACTCACTCACGGTCTCGTGGAAAGAAGGGGACCATGAACGCGACAGCTTCATCCTCCGCTGCCGTCAAGAATATCAGTTGAAGGAGTGGGAGTCGAAGATCAACGGTTTAATTCGACCATCCTGTCTGGCCTCTCAGCCGAACGATCTCTCAGGCGGCCTCGATACGGATGAACATCGACAGATTCTTCAGGCCACGCCTTCCGGCGGCAGCGGCAGCGGCCCTCCCCAGGAATTACCCCATCTCGACGCGACTTCTGCACGCGACACTATTCCCAGCGATAACCAACCCCCAGTGCAGACCGATAATAACAATGGCGCGAATCCCCCGTCTACGTTCCGAGTCGTCAAGGTGACGGTGCACTTCAACGAAGACATATTCATCCTACTGGTCCCGCGGACGATAGACTACGACGGCCTGGTGAGATTAGGCGCAAGATCCGCCTCCTCGGTCCACTGCCGGACGAACCGGTGCGACTGATATATAAGGACCACGACGGCGATATGGTGGCGGTCAACTCTTCGGAAGATGTGCAGATAGCGTTGGAGGATTGTCAACCTGAAGATCAGTTGACGCTGTACGTTAGATGAGCATGGCCGTTGTTTTGTCTCGTGTGCGTTACAGGCTGTTGGTTCGACCTTCTTATTTGTCTGGGTTCTGTTCGAGAGTCTGTATCTCTGTAGTTTGCTTGTTGAAATCTGTATGGCGTATCCTGGGACATCTTCCGCTTCGGAGATCATCCACGCTAACACCTCCAAGGCGATTCTATTATGAACGTTGGAGTGGGAACTCGGCCCAACTCGGCGTTCTTGCTTTTTTTTCAGTCCAAAACTCATTCTCGGGTGCGGGGAATCGAACCCCGTCCTGCAACATAAAGCTTTCAATGATTACAGTTCACAGTTAAGGACCACCATACACCACACCCGAGTTCTCCTTCCAGAACCTATGATAGATATGTTGGATAAATCGAACCCGCCACAGTTTACATGATGTTACGATGTATCCAAACTTCATGATAATGATTATGCTTTTTTTTGGTTCCATTTCACTTCGCGATTCACTTGCTTCTTTTCCTCGTTTTATTCATACAGAATTTCAGTAGTACCACTATGACCCATGCTAACAATCGAACATACTCTCCGCGTCCTTTAGAGGAACACCGAATGTCGTCGGTGATACCGGAG